GCTTTTTAATCAAAATTAAATATGTAAATATTGTCTTTTATAGTGATACTATTAAGTATCACTATAAGAAACAACATTTACATATTTAATTTTGATTAAAAAGCTGTGCTTTTTATGCTATGCTGTTGAGTAGCATAGAAAGGGTAAAGGCAGATGCCTGCTTTTGCTTTTCCTGCAACTTACAGGAGCTTAGCTGAATGTCAGCTTGTTTTAACTGATTTTCATTTTGACTGATGGGTTCTATGGAACATCTAAGTAGATTGGGCTACCCTTTCATTTTCTCTTTGCTGTACCTTTCTTCCCTTTCAATCAAAGATAATCAGGAAATATAGAATTTGACGTATTTTGTAGAGAACATAATATTCAGACAATTATGTGCCAAATTTAAAAGAGCATCTGTTTCAGATATAACTGGAAACAATCATTTGTGTGTATGAATATCTCTCTGTCCCTCCCTCCCTCCCTCCCTCCCTCCCTCCCTCCCTCTCTCTCTCTCTCTCTCTCTCTCTCTCTCTCTCTTTGTGTATGTATGTATTCACAAGTTAAAAAGCAAGTACTTAGCATAAGTATATCTCAAAAAGTTAAAAAGGGTTGTTGTTTTTTTGCTTAAGGAATGTAGCATAAGACAGATAAAGCATCCTTCCTGCCAATAAAAACAATTATGTGATCTTTACTGATTTTTGCTTGAACATAAGGGTGGCTGTTGGCTGCATAATGAAGTAAACTAATGGCCTATAGTGCTTCTTAACTGCATGAATCGCGTTCACATTAAATGAACAAAAGCTTAGAGCACGCAGAGAGTACAGACACAGATAAACCATCCTGAGCCAGCAACAAGGGTTTATTTTTGCAATTTTAGATGCATTCTGAAGCTAGGCATTAGCTCCCAGGAGCATAGGTAGCATGAACCCAAAAGCTCATGAAGTGAATATTGTATTAGTGGTCTTTACATTTGAAGAACCTTAACTGCGTTGGCTACATTGGTGTGAAGCATACACAATAGTGCATAAAAGCTAAATGCAATTCATCCATCCACATGAAGTAACTTATCAGGCAGGCTAGTAGGTGTGCAGCTGTGAAAAGTCATCCCTACCATGTGATTAACCCCATTTCCCCCCCCCCTTTTTTTTTTAACAAATGCCACTCTCTCATCAAGATGAATCAATGGAAGCAAGGACATGACTGCCAGGATGGAAAAAGTTTGTCAATATTACCACAAACAGCCAAAAACCCAAAGCCAAATTATAGGATCTGAAACAGGCAGAAGACTTTAAAGCAACTTATTTTCTACCAGCCTCAGAATAAAACATGAAAACATCTGTTTAGGTCCAAGCTCAGAGTAGTTGGAAATGGCTGTTGAGATTAGAATGTTTCATTCTCAACATGATTTACTTATTGGAATTGAGGTACACATTAGTATTAATTATTTTATTTCTTGTATGTCTAACCATGAGCTCTAGAACTCTGGTTTCAGTTGGGTTAAAAGTGATTTTAGCTAATATCAGGACCCAGGAACTTACTTTATTTGGGTTCCAGTTCATATAAAGAGTTGCAATGGGATATAAGTGTCTGTTATAGATTTCCCACTTCTGAATGTGAGAAATTGAAAAGAGGAAGCTGAAATATGGGCCTGTTTTTTTCCAAAACAATTTTCATGTTGCTTTCATTTCCAATTACTTTTACCTGGAATTAAAAATTGATTATTTTTAAATTTGAAACCATTCACAGCTTATTGTCCAATAGTTTATTAATATTTATAGAAACATGAAATTATTTTTGTGCTAATAATTTTTTTAAGATAATTGGTTAAACCACATTTCCATTAAACTAATTTATCCTGAATGTGCTTCTGATGAATTGCACTTATTGCTTTTTTTATTTGATAAACCTCCTCTGTGATATTATATGCCATCCTTAAAGTGCTTGTTCATGAAAATGTCTACTGTGATATCACTATGAGTGAAGAGAGTGGGGACTGTTATCCTTCTGTAATCAATTCACAAATAAGCAGACAATGTGGTTTCATTTCTCAAACCCAGCGATGAAGAAACAAAATAGCATAATTAGTTTTTTTCCCCTAAAGGACAGGAATTGTCATTTGTACAAAAAAGTATACAAAGCAATTCTAATTGATACATATCATTGTCTTTGAAAATCAAGAACATAACATAAAAATGCAAGGCAGGTTGGCTTTTAAAAATATTTAGTCAACAAGAACAACTTAAGTAACTCAGAACTGCTACATCTATATGTATTTAGCCAGTGATTAGAGCTGAATAGCCTATTTCATAACCTTACATTTGTACTGCAGTGACCTTTTAGAGGTCTACTTGATAAGTCAGTTGTGAGTTAGTAGAAATCTAATTATTTGTGAGCATTTTTTCTGTGATCGTCAAAGCACATCCACTGTAAATCTCAAACATATTTTCAGGAGAGAATGCTGCATCAACTGTCCCTTCGCTGAGACTAGAGAAGCAATTATCTGGTCATAAACTGAAATATTTCATTGCCAATGTAATCTTGTTCTTCTCAACTCAAAACCTCCATTATATTTGAATGGGCCTATTTCTAATCTTCACAGTATTTCAGAGATTCAACATAACTTTTATCCAACCATCTTTTCTCTTTATTTTGTAATACAAGGGCAACTCGGAAATAAATCTCCATTTGTTTATCAATGACAGACACTCAGAGATATAGAACTTTTATTATATACATTAGAAAACTACAACATTACATTACTTTTCAACATAATTGCCATTCAAATTGAGGCACACCGAAAGTGGTGCCATAGAAAATCCCGCCAAATGTGAAGATGCCAAAGGAGCCCTGCTAGTGAAGTTCATGGAGCGTGGTTCGACCATCAATTCAGAAGTCTACTGTGAAACATTATGAAAACTCAGCTGAGCCATCCATAACAAGCATCAGGGTATGCTGACTTTCAGTGTGGTGTTGGTTCACAATAATGCTCTCCTGCACACCGCTAGACGCACCCAAGAACTTCTGAAGCAGTTCCATTGGGATGTTTTTGATCACTAACCCCATAGCCCAGGTTTGGCACCAAGCAACAACTACTAAGGAATTTTAAATCTTGTAAGACATTATGACAAGTGCCTCAATTTGAATGGTGATTATGTCGAAAAGTAATTTAATGTAGTTTTCTAACGTGTATAATAAAAGTTCCATATCTCTGAGTGTCTGTCATTGATAACCAAATGGAGGTTTATTTCCAAATTGCCCTCGTAATTCCCTGAGGTTTAACACAGTAGGTTAAGAAGTAACTACCTTGAAATGCTCATTAATTGAGAACATTTGAGGCCACACCAGATGCCACTAAATAAGTCAGTTTAATGCTCTGGAACGACTAAGAATTAGACGCATACATTTTGGAGGGTAGAGGCAAAATGAAACTACGTCATAAGATGTAGCTAAATGCAGCATTTTTACATAGACATAGAGACATATTGATCTAGCAGACATATATATAATAAAATTTGCCATCATCATCTCACTTTGAAATATTTTCTGAAATATCTACTGTGACACTAGTCATTATTGATTTCTGTTGTATTCTATATTTTTCAGCTGGCAGAAAATCAAACTATTAGTTTTCTTCCATCACATAGATAGAGGCATTTATTTTAAGTTGGCAGGAAGTGTTCACAATTGTTACAACCCACCTGCTCTAGGATGTTACATATGAAAAGCTAATGATCTGTAGACAATAAATAGTGCAGTAACCTACTAAGATCCTAATAGATTTTATAATTAGAGACATTATAATTTCTCTTGTTTGTTGGTGTTCTGTAATCTGGCACTTGCCTAAAAATTAATTAAAATCCTTACTAGTGCTATTGGGGCTTTCACTTCTTATTTTTTTACAAGCTGCATAAAATTCTTTTGTGAACAGAAACTCATAGTCTGTAATATGGTGCAAAATGCTTTTATCCTTTATGATGATAATTGAAAACTTGCTTATATCGTAAAAGGATCAATGGATCAATGCCATTTCTAGTAAAGATATACAATGCATGTTTGAGCTCTTTAAAAACCAAGATATGCTAAACCACTATAGACAGAACAATACAGCCAATGTAACTGCAGCTGCACTTTTTAAAATAATTGAAAAAAGGAAGATAGGTGATCCAAACCCTGTTTTAGTTGTGGTTTAGTCAATCACACATGAAGCAATATAATATTTATCAATTTCTCCTTCCCCCAGAAGACGGGGCAGGAATTGCTTTGTCTCTTGCAGACAAATTCTGCATCTGCCTCTATCTGGGAATGTTTCATCCCTCAAAAAATGCAATGATTATTCAGTTCTCTCAATAGTTAAATATATGATAGCAGTCCAGTTCCCTCTGATCGTTAACAGGGAGAATGATTCAGCAGGTTTTCTGAAGCAACTTTTGCTTTAGGCCTGAACCAATACCTGGCATGCTGGAAGTGTTCAGATTAAACAATGCTAGTTTTAGAAGTACGAAAACCTGAATACAAACTTGCCTTTAGTGCACACCTCTAACTGATGAAGATTTCTTCAAACAGAATAAAAACTATTTCTCTGAATTAGGTGAATGCCAGTTTTGATTCTTACTGGATGCTGCATAAAGTGTGCAGTGTGCCTACATTTTGCAAAATCTATTTTACCTTAGAGGCTCTAAGTCTAAGAGAAGGAGTTTCCAGTTTGTTTGTAACACGGACTGTCCCACATGTGCTTTCTTACAGTCTGAAAGACAATAAACAGGGAATCTGGAAGCATAATAAGAGGCTTATTCTGCTGACTGGTCCTTAATATAAGAGGCTTATTCTGCTGACTGGTCCTTATTTCTAGCAACACCTTATGTTCTCACCATTTTTGTAATTGTGGTTACTACTTGAATAGTGTGAAACGGGGAATGAGATATTATTTGTATCTCATGCTTGATTTTTTTCATTAATATAACCTCAGTCATTTCTGATAAATGGGGCGTCTTTCAACTTAAATGTCATTTTGTTTTCAGGAGATTCCTTTACCCAATTCAGATTCACTGAAGAAAAAGAGTGGATTTCAGAAAACCTTGGCCCAAAGCAGGTAATGGAGAACAAGTCTTCTTTCAAAAATTGCTGTGTATCTTTTTAAAATTTCATTATTTCCATGGCAGTTAATAAATATCTACACTATATACTGCTAAAACTCTTGCTTAATTGCAATATAATATCTCTGGTAATATTCCCTTATTAAATACCTCATGGTGCAATTGACAAAGTTTTGACACCAAAAGATCTATAAATATTTTACCTCTCTATAGGAAATCTATTCGATCCTGGTGTTTTTCTGCTTGGCATTTTAAAATTATTTGTTTAAATTCTTCATCAGATAATGGAGCAAGTAAAAGTTGTTTTTGTATATCATCTAAGTGTAATAGGTTTATGTCTGTGGAGATTCTCAGTCATCCAGGTTATGCCCCAAAAGTACTTTTCAAAAGGCAACTGGACTTTCTTGAGTTTTTTTTTTCTTTTCTTGAAAATGTTTTTCTTCTTCTCCAATAATCTTCTTCAGTTCTGACTGAAGGGGAATGGAAGGGTTTCTGTTCTTTGCAGTCATTTGGTCATTGGCTTTCTGAAGATCAGCTGTTAGCTCTCTGAGAGTCATTGAGGCCACTTGGGGGTTCACCTGTACCCTCAGTGTCACCTGAATGAGAGTGAATCAACACAAAGGACTGTGTTGTAGATAGGAGAGAGGTGACATTGTATCCCTCCCTATTTGTTAAGAGAGGGCTATTCACTTTTAATATAGATGGTCTCTTTGACCCCTCTTTCAGCCCTGTGGTTCTCTATGTCCAGAATGCTAAGGTGACAAAACGTCCTCCTTTAGGGAGGACAGTCATCCTTTTGTAAGTTCTGTTCTCCCTCGAAAAGTGTCCTCCTACATGTTCTCCTTTTTGATATTTGAAGACTAATCTGCAGGGCTTTTTTTTTCTTATAGAATGCTCAGAACGGCGTTCCGGCACCTTTTTTTGATGTTTTTTTTTTTCAACTTTTGCATGAGGTGTGGTACTCCCACTACTGGCTTTCGAAAGCCAATAGGAATTGCTGCTGAGCGGGCCAAAACACCCGGCTGGCAAACTTTGCACATGCAAGTTGTCTGTATTATTGTTGCAATGAATACAATGTTTCTTTTATTTATGATATTTTTTTCTTCAATTGATTTGTGTCCTCCTTTTCATTGTAAAAAAGTTGGTCACCTTAAAAATATGAACTTTTCTGTCTTCAAAAGAGTGGCCCTTGTCTTTCAGATATAGTAGGCTTATCTATATACTTCTGAAATGCTCGTGTTTGTAACCTTTAAAATTGAGTGAAATCATAGGGCAACAATTTTTGAATCAGTGCATCATGACAGGACAACAATTTTTGAATTAAGAACACCGCATATGGACTACCTTATAGGATGTATGCAAAATCTGTGACCTACGACTCCCAAGGAAATGAAATTTGGGAACGTTGTGACTGCTTAAGTGCTGTTGGATGCTGCTGCAGTCACATGATCCACATTTTCAAAGTTACCTTTCTGCTGGGAAGGGAAGGGAAGAGGGAAGCAGGAAGGAAGGAAGATTGGAAGATTTCTACTGGTCCCTTACCAGTTTATCACAAGAAAATTTAATGGGGAAGGTGATTGGAAGTAATTCCTGCTCCCTCTGCTTTTTTACTCACCTGTGGTCATTCTGTTTCTCTGTTTAGGTAAGGATTTTTTTTTTTCTGAAATCATGACCCAATGGAGCATGGGTTGCTTAATACCCATAAAACTGATAAAAGCATAATATTGTTTCAGGCATCATCTTAAAACAGTAGGCAATTGTTACTGTTCTCAGTCTTCATGCAACACACACACACATATTCACACACACAACCCAGGAAAATAAGAATTATATTACTTCCTTACCTTGTAAGGATTATTAAAGTAATATATGCAAAGTGCTTTGAACACTTAAAGTGCTCTTTATAAATGCTAAGTGAGTGTTATTAAATCTAAAGAGAGTAAAATAACCCAGCTATTACATAAAAACTATTAAAATCAGTCCTCCCACATCCATGTTAAATCTTAGTATCAGCCCAAACAAATCAATACAGTGTGTATCTAAAAAAAATGGACGTGGACTACAGTTGAATCTGCATCTGAGTGGAACAGTACAAGTTGTATACATGACTGTATCAGCCACACATACTGTATGGTTTTAGTAAGCAGAAAGTTGTCTGCTATAAAATTCTGTCATAGTTTGATACAATGAGAAGAAAAGCTACAGAAAATCCATTGTAGAGTTCAAAGGTATGGCTATTAGCTGTTAAGTCTTGATAGAAGAGGTCTTTTACATTGAAGTAGTAAAAAGAGATACTAAACATCTGAACACAATAGTAGATTTTGCCACATCCTCCTGAAATGCATTGATAATTACAGCTATTTATCCCAGGATCCAAACCAGATCAGGTCATTGGGCCACATTGCCTTAGTGTTGATCAGCATTCTGAAATATATTTTTCGTGAGATCTATATGTAAAAGGCATGCTTAAAACAAGCTTTCCCACCATTGTTCAATCTTAAGATGGCTTTTAAAATAAGGCAAGATCAATTTGGTCATAATTTACACACCACAAGAAAAAAGGATTACCTTCCCAATTCCTCATCTGTGTTCTAAAATTCTATGACTGAAAACCAGAGTTGAAAAGGGACGGGTGAAAGGCAGAAATGATTTGTCAAACACAATTCAGAGGAAGGTACAGAAAGGGACTTTGAAAGATGGACAGATAAATAACGTCTTCCAACTTCAGGTCTAATTTACTAAAAAGAGGTGAGCAGACAAAAGATTTATCTACTGATTTTAACCTAGCCTTACTGTTAAAGTTAGGAAATTGCTAGATTACAGCTTTACTTTGAAAGTCTCTAATGAAGTGAAATGAATCCACTGACGATGGAGAAAAAGAAATCTATTTTTCTTCCTTTATCGTGCCATCTGCACATTTATCAGCTGTTGGGAATAACATAAGCAACTGCTCAGGAAAGCATTCTATTATTTCTATCCCCTTGTTTTTTACTAGGCTAATGTGTGTGCCAAAATCAGAGAAGATTCTAGGCTGCTTCTTACAATTGGGTCTCATGTTTGGCTTTCCTTTTCTCATTTGTCATGCCCATTACAGAAGACAGATGATGAAATGGCATTACACTGTGACCTTGTTTCCATCCAGAATATAACATCCAATGGCACAAAGGAGGATATTTTATAGAACAGTATTTTTTGAGGAATCTTTTGAAGAATTTCTTGTATTTAGTTCCATGAAATCTTTTTCTCGACTTGTTTATTGTTTATTTGGTCACCACAATATAAAAAAGATGTTGAAATTCTGGAAAGAGTGCAGAAAGAGCAACAATAATGATTAGGGGGCTGGAGACTAAGATATATGAAGAACAGTTGCAGGAATTGTATGTCTAGTATAATGAAAAGACGGACTAGGGGAGATATGATAGCAGTGTTCCAGTATTTGAGGGGTTGCCACAAAGAAGAGGGAGTTAATCTATTTTCCAAAGTACCAGAAGGCAAAACAAGAAGCAATGGATGAAAACTAATCAAAGAAAGAAGCAACCTAGAGCTAAGGAGATATTTCCTAATGTGAGAACAATCAGCCAGTGGAATGCCTTGTTGGTGCCCCATCACTGGAGGCTTTCAACAAGAGACTGGACAACCACTACCTGAAATGATATAGGGTCTCCTGCTCAAGCAGGAGGTTGGACTAGAAGACCTCCAAGGTCCCTTCTAACTCTATTATTCTATGTTCTATTGTCTCAGAAAAGTAACGTGAACTTCAAAGGAGTCAGATTATTACTATTTTAGGCTCAACATAAGTGGATATCAGTACAGTATCATTAACTCAGATTTTTTTCAGATTATTTGAATGAAAATAATTTGGTCATTTCAAATAGTGATAAAGTGTTAGAATGTTTTCTACAAGTATCTTTGATCTTAAAATTATGGCAAATTTCAAAACAGTGCTAACAGCAATAACAAATCTTAAAGATCTGCAAGCTTCCTGAATTGGTCCAGGTTCTGATTAGTTATTTAGTCATTTCATCAACAATATATTTCGATCATTTTTGCGCTATGAAGTATCAGGCAAAATATAAACAAGAAATTTGTAGCACATTAAAAACCAATAGCAGAAATCTGAACCATTGAAATAACAATAAGTACAATAAAAGTAGTTTTTAAAAAGTATTTGTAAAAAGTATGGTCCTCTATTTTTAAAAAAATTAAATGGAAGCATATTTCATTGATTTTTATCCTCTTTATAAGTGAAATAATAGTTCTATGCCTCTGCCTGTCTTGTGTAGTGGCTTGTTGCCCTATTCTTTCAGAAAATACCAAAAATTGCAGTACCTGTACTAATGTAAAGGAAATCAATGTTGTCAAAATTACTAAGCTCAAGGTAAGAGATGGTTGCTTGTTAATGCTTCAGTTTGTATATGAAACCAGGCGTGCATGAGTTATCCAGTCCAGTATAATGAAAATCTCTTATAGCTTTGCTTGCGCTGAAAGAATAAGGTACTCCCATGGCTGTTAGTCTTCCCTAACCTAGGAGAAAAGGCTTTGTTGCACTAACTTGGTGATCCAAATGAACACAGTTTTAATCTGGTGTGCATGCACTCTGTTTATAGTTGGCAGGCTTGTACGTTGACTGCCAGTCCTTGGTTCAAGCGCTTGAAGAACTGCCTCTGCACCTCAAACTCAACATGGCTGCTGAACTGGTACAGGTAATACCCATCCTTCTCAATGTTACTACTTCATATTTAAGAGCTTCATATTATTTTAATGTTAGTACTTCAGCTCCACAAGGGAAGGATGCTATTAAATAGCAGAATTTCCTATCAGCACTTCTTCCGCTTCATTGCTCCTCTAAAACAAAATGTTTTCCTCATGCCAAGTGCATTTCGGTCAAGACTAGCATCCCCAAAGACTTGCTCGTTCTAGTTTTGTTACTTCAGATTTTGACACCCCTCCCTTTGCCACACACACACACACACACTCTTACTCTTGTTATCAGCATCGCAGAGAACATTGCTTTCCTGTTCTTACTGATCTTTACAGTAATCCTTGCTTTGATCTTGTCCATTATGTAGTGGATCTAGTTCAGCAGTGCAGCTGCTACACAGACCTATATAAAAAAAACAATTACTTTTGCCCAGATTTTATAATTCCTGATAGCATCATAAATATAAAATATCTTCTGAATGTGGGAAGAGAGAGGGGGGGAAAAAGCAAAATATTCAGGTAGACTGAGAAGAAGTTATGTGAATTAACGTAGTTGTTGGGTAAGTTTACGGTATGTCTAGTGCTAGAAAAATCATTCCAGGTTAGATAAAAGCCAGCTATATAAGAACCGAAACCTGTTTTGTTCTCCTGAAGGATTGCCTAAAGCAACTCCGGTATTGATGTTGCTCATTTTTTTCTTGTTCCAACTCAAAGTCACTTCTGTGATTGTAGCAGAGAAATTTGCATTTGTTTTGCAAGTCAAATTCCTTCTTTTCCACACAATGGCGAGGCTGGATGTCATTGCTTTTCCTGCTGTTAATTGTTTAAAAAGCAGCGGCTGGCTTTTTTATCTATCGTTAGGGCACATTCTGTGCTGTAATGAAGTAACAGATTCTCCTACTGCGCCTGATGAGAACCAGCAAGTCAGTGAACTGCAGGCTGTAGGAAGTTACATTTCCTTCTGTCTTTTTTTTCCTTGCTACTGAATGGACCAATTTGGTGTCCTTGATTATTGTAAGTTGATCAGATCTTTCAATGGTAAAATAAAAATCTGTGGGTGAAGGTTCGTTCTCCGAGCTTGTGGGTTGGTTTCCGAATGTTTCGCTACCAGGCGAGGTAACATCTTCAGCAGTGTTTAGTGGAGGTCAGTGTCAGTGTCAAGGCAACATAAAAGTCTGTGCTGTTCAGAGTAATGAATGCTTCCCATTTTGTTGGCATTATTTTTCAGCTTCCTGAGGAATCAGATGAAATTGCAAACTAAGTGGGGAAAGGAAGCTGTCCTTACTATTTGGTTTTCTCTAAGCCAGTGATGGCGAGCGTTTTAGAGACCGGGTGCCCAAAAACTGGCCCTGCCCCCACTCCACCCCCCATCCCCCACCCCACCTGCCCGCAAGGCCACTCACCACCTCCAGGGCCCACCGCAGATCCCCCAGACAGCCCAGCAGCACTATGGCAGTCACGCCATCTGCCCGCACCCTGCAGCATCAACTGTGCACAATGGGGTGTAAGGACAGAGTCTTGTCTACGCTGCCTGGCTGCCATGTCCTTGGCTGCACTGCTCTGTATGAGCCACGCTCAAGGGCGACTTTCCTTCAGGGGGGCTGCTGGAGAGGAGGGGGTCGCGGGGGGAGGTGAGGCTGGGACAACAGCACGTGTGCCCACAGAGAGAGCTTTGAGTGCCGCCTCTGGTACCCGTGCCATAAGTTCACCACCACTGCTCTAAGCTCTTCGTTGGAAAAGGACCTGGCAGCCTGTTGGTTCCACTGGTTCTTTTTGCCTGACCTCAGGCTTATTTCAGGAGAAAGCACAAGTATAAAAAGATTGTAGGCAAATCCTTGCAAAAGTAAGAAAGAAGATTATGCAGGTTATTATAGTTTGGCACATGTATCTTGGTAAATAAAAGGCTAAAACTGGAGCTTCTTAAAATATTTAAATATTAATCATACTTTTTAGAGCAATTTTCCTTTATTTCTATACAGTATGAGTTTATTTTCCATAGTTTGTGCGTATGTATAGATGAGTATTACTGGGATTTTTTTCCTGGTGGAAGCTAAATTTCAATTTGGGTTACCAAGTTGTTGCATTGCATCAGCCATTGTTTAGGGCTGTTTTCTTATCACTGTAGGATGCAACCCCAGTCACGCTTCCCCAGATTAAGCTGCAAAGTCATGACATGGCCAAGAAAAGTAGTGATCTATTGCAACAGCAAAAGAGAGTCGGGTCACACTGTTATCCCAAGGAAGATTCTGCTGTTCCCTTGACTTTGTCAAATAAAGATGGATCTGGAATTTCTTCAGAGGCTCTTCAGAGAAATCCTTCAAGTTTACATCAAGTAATAGATGATTTGGATGAAGACCTTGATCTGCTCCTGAAATTAGATGCCCCTATTAATCCTGAAAACAATATTGCTTTGGAAGTGGTAGCAGATAGCCTGCCATCTGGGGATGATTCGATAAGGACTTTTGAAGAAACTGGTAAGTATTAGGCATTTTTCCTCACCTGTCTTTTTCTAATTATTATTGTTATTATTTTCAATGCAATCAGTAAAATATTTTTCCTTTCACAAACATTTTATGCCATTATACCTAACTAGATAATATATTGTTATCTCAATTATGTATACCAGATGTCCCCAATCTTTCTTGGTTGGCAGATCAAAAGGAAAGGGATAGAGAAACATTTTACGCACACGCATGCAAACTGGGCTGCGAGCATGCATGTGTCTCAAATAGGGCAGTGCTAGTGTCCACGTGACATTCAGCCCTGCCCCATTTTTACCGTACACACCCCGTTTAGGCCACACGGTATCCCATTTTCACCGTGCAGCCATGGCACTAGCATAAGTGGGGATGAGTGCACACATACACATGCATGCACTGGCCAGCCTGTCACGCGGCCCAGTGGCCAGTAGGCCACGGTTCAGTTGTGGGCTGTGACCCACAAACTGGGGACCCCTGATGTATAGTGTATCTTATGTCATGGATCATCTTGCTTAATCTGTTGAAAAAAAACCATGCCTCTTCTTTTCCATACAGTGATTGAGATTATATAAAAGAAGCCTAGAGTATGAACTTGGCTTTTTAGTTATTATTTTTTATTTTATCCTGCCTATATTATTATTCTGAATGACTCAAGCTATCAAACCTATCTAAGACAACTTCTTCCTCCTAGTTGCCACACAACAACAACTCTGTGAGGTGGGTTGGACTGAGAGAGAGTAACTGGTCCAAAGTCACCTAGTCAGTTTTCATGTCTAAGGTTCTTCTGTGTCTAGATCAAACTTTAAATGCCAGAATGAAGCCACTTTCTCTGCTCTGTCATTGGTCAAAAATAAATCATTATCGGTACATGTTTCTGGTAGTAGCCGATTTACCAGCTGATGGGCTGGGCTCTGTGTCTCTCCACATTCACATTGTGTGTGTGTTATCTTCTAAGAGCTTTCACTTGAGCACATTGGTTTTACATTTAGGCACTCCAATTGCTAACCTCTTCAGGGTCCTCCAAGTAGTATAAGGGAGGTCAGGTGGGATTAGAACTCATAATCTCTCACTTTCTAGGCTGGCACCTTAATCACTAGACCAAACTGGCTGTCTTCCTATCTGGAAAAGTAGATGGAGATCTTCCTTTACTGAAAATGGACCATAGTGATCTGACAGAAATAAGTTCTCAGTTCACCTTTCGTAGTCCCATTTCAGAGCACATGCTAGACTTCAATAGTAGATAGTACTTTAGAACAAAGCAATAAAATATTCAGGTTAGGACTCTGCAGATGGTTATTAACTAGAACCACGTTAGTGTATCATGTGGATGAACCTGCCTTTTCTAGTGATGAGAGAGCACCAGGTGTTACAGTGTATTCCTTGGCTGAAGTTATATTTCCCCCAGCATTCTTGTCACAAATCATTTTGCTATACTCCATCTAAGCATCCTCTGTTTGTGTCTGTTTTCTGAATCCTCCTCTATTTACCCCCTCTATGCAGTTACATGAGAATCTGTTGTTCCCTTGTGTACCTATTAATATTGTTAGATGCTGTCAGGTTGGATTCAATTCTTTGCAACCACATAACTAGATTTTCTCTAGGATGATTTGTCTTCAATATGGCCTTTTAGGTTTCACAATGGGGTGTTCATTGCTGTTGTCATTGTTGTATTGTATAAATTACATAGATTACATTAATTTGGAAAATAAGAGGAGTGTAAAACTGGATACATTTAAAGCAGAAAGGTTTTGATGCCAACATGATTTAAGTTCCATTATGAGCTGGTTTCTGTGTCTGCTTAAGCTGAACAGTTAAACATACTTCTTCATTGAAACATATTTTTGAAGCCTTCCATATTTTAAAATCAGTACAACGAAGATTATCGAATTACAGGTAATCCTTGACTTACAACCACAATTGAGCCCAAAATTTCTGTGGTTAAGTGACACATTTGTTAAGTGAGTTTTGCCCTATTTTACAACCTTTCTTGCCACAGTTGTTAAGTGAATCACTGCAGTTGATAAGTTAGTAACCTGGTTGTTAAGTGAATCCGGCTTCCCCATTGACTTTGCTTATCAGAAGGTTGCAAAAGATGATCACATGACCTTGGGACACAGCAGCGGTCATAAATATGAACCAGTTGCCAAGCATCTGAATTCTGATCACATGATCATGGGGATGCTGCAAAGGTCGTAACTGTGAAGAACATAAATAGGTCACATTTTTCAGTGCCATTGTAACTTTGAACGGTCACTGAATGAACTGTTGTAAGTAGAGGACTGCCTGTATATTATTGGAAAACAATAGGATATAGAGTGGGAATTGTGAGAATACAAATGCAAGTGGGAAGGAATGCAAAATAGATATTCTAGCTATGGTTAAAAAAAAAAAAAAGAACAGGTTACACTTTATAGTTGAGAGAGTCAAGCCCTTATGTGACTCACTAATTTTATACCTTTTATTTAGCCCTATTCTGGCAAAACGGTCCAGAATAAATTCTGAAACTATTTTTAAGTTTCATAAAAAAGAAAAAACACATAGCAAAAAGAAAAAAATAAAGTTTGTGGGAAATAGTTACTGATTTTTTTTCTTAAAAAGTAAATTTAGGATGATATGCTAAATTATTTTCCAATTTCACATTGTATTTTTAAGTTAAATATTCTAGTCTATTCACACATTCTAAATTATTGGTAAATGTTTTACATCTGCATTTGGGAATGCAAAAACATGCATACATACATACATTCAATCTCATTTCAATCTCCCATAATGTTTTATAGGAAAAGTACAAATAGAAACTTGTTTTTCAATAGAATGGAATAAAATTACAGGAAAACTAATTTTTTTAGAGAGATTGAGGCATGCCACACTTTATATTAATCGGGAAAAGGATTTGGCAACATTTCTCAATTATACATATATAGATCTGGAGAAGATCTATCTATTTGACGGTATCAACCAATAGGTCATGATGCTGATTCTGGTTTACCTCGTGATCTTCAAAATTTCTTGATGATAATGCTGTGTGAAAGAAAAGTCTGGTAATTGCAGTTCATGGAATGTTTTTCTGATCGCTACTCTTTTAACCTAAAAACATTATAGGTTAGGGCAAAAACCTAAATTAAGTCCAGCATTTAATAAATTACAGCAGTGTTGTCTTTCGTATTGGATAGGCTGTGATGCAAACATTTCTTTAGTGTCATTTTGTGAACTAGGGTTCAAAGATGGGCGCTGTTGCGTGACTGCAACCAAGCATAATTCAAATAATAGAGATTGCTAAAATATTTGTGATGAAGATAATTTTACAATATTAATAAATGCACATGAAGCTAAAATAAGGTATACTACATGCATTCTTGCCTGCCTATTTATTGGGCCTGAGGCTAGTGCACTGTTTCTCAACCTTAGCAATGTTAGATATGCAGACTTCAATTTCCAGAATTCCCCAGCCAATCACAGCTGGCTGAGGAATACATCTTAATGTTACCAAGGTTAAGAAAACTGGTGTCTGAAAGACTTCAGAGAAAAAAGTTTAACATACTTCATTATTTTTCCTGCAATTTTTAGCATTTGCCCAGACAGAATAAGCTCAACCCTGATTATTCAATCCTCCATCAGTTTGATAACTCTTACAGAGAGAGTTAAGTATAACCAAATAAATTAATTGTAAACTATTCCATAATTTGTTTTCTAAAGCATGCATTAAATTGAAATCACTCTTTTTTATTGAAAAGTTTTATACAAATACATTATTACAATACAATAACCCTCCCTCCCTCCCCCCCACCCCAATCCTCCCCCCCTCACTTCCCAGAGCTGATTACAGGGTTAAAAAAAATAAATAAACAAATTCTAACTAAGCTTATCCAACTATACCAATAACCAAATCCCTAAAATACTTTAACTCAAATACAAACAACTCCCTGTTTAAACTATAAGTTAATCAAAAACTAAATATTACTTTCTAATCCCATATTTATTTTGTACAAAATTTATCCATCTTCTCCACACCGAGATGTATCTTTCTTGTGAATGATCTTTCAAGTAAGCAGAAATTTTGGCCATTTCTGCTAAATTAGAAACTTTAAACGACCATTCTTCTATAGTAGGCAAAGAATCTTTCTTCCAATATTGCCCAACCAATAGCCTTGCCGCCATAATAAGATTCAACATTAAAATAGTTTCTTTAACATCACAACCTTCAATAATACCTAACAAAAACAATTGTGATGTAAACTTTCTTTCTATTAAAAATCTTTTGAATGCACTGTTGCGTGACTGCAACCAAGCATAATTCAAATAATATAGATTGCTAAAATATTTGTGATGAAGATAATTTTACAATATTAATAAATGCACATGAAGCTAAAATAAGGTATACTACATGCATTCTTGCCTGCCTATTTATTGGGCCTGAGGCTAGTGCACTGTTTCTCAACCTTAGCAATGTTAGATATGCAGACTTCAATTTCCAGAATTCCCCAACCAATCACAGCTGGCTGAGGAATACATCTTAATGTTACCAAGGTTAAGAAAACTGGTGTCTGAAAGACTTCAGAGAAAAAAGTTTAACATACTTCATTATTTTTCCTGCAATTTTTAGCATTTACCCAGGCAGAATAAGCTCAACCCTGATTATTCAATCCTCCATCAGTTTGATAACTCTTACAGAGAGAGTTAAGTATAACCAAATAAATTAATTGTAAACTATTCCATAATTTGTTTTCTAAAGCACGCATTAAATTGAAATCACTCTTATAATCTGCTCTGGATTCTAGGAATATCCCACCAATTATGAGACAGTTGGTTCTGATATGCAAAACCAAATCCAGATAACTTGAGACTAATTTGTTTCTAATGATTTTTACCTACTCTAATATTTTAAGTCATGGTACTGATTGACTGTAACAGTATTTTCAGTAAGAAAATCTTTGTATTTGGAACATAAGAAAATTTGATCTGCTTAATGCCACACCTGAAATTACACTGTTTTGTTGCTGTATAGTGAAAAGTAGACCAATTTTGAAGTTCATTCTCTGGAAACCTGTCTGATAGTTGAGCACACTGAATATTTATAAAAGTAATTATGAAATTAATATCCACTTGATTATTTTTTTGCAAGTTCATATATAAAAGAATCTTAACTTTTTTCACTCAGTGAAAATGAATCATCAAAATAATATCCTATTATTTAATTTACTGTGTGCCAGAGGATATGTTTCAGGAAGTATCAGGCTGCATTTATGAAGCAACTTGAATAATGAAGCAGCCCTAGCAAACATCAGGACTTGTAACTTTTTAAGTTTTTGTAGCAGTTGTTAGAAATTGAATTCTTATGGATTGTTGGATTGTTACCTTATTTTACAAAGTAAGATTTAGGTCTGAAAATCATTGATTCACATTCAGATTCAGAAGCATTCACTTCATGAAATCTGTGTATGTGTGTACGCGTGCGCACATGTGCATACACATAATCAATAGAAGACTGTGCAGGTAGTTCTTAGAGCATGATGACTTTTATCAGTTTTCCCTCTTTTCATACATCCTTAAATCTTGAGGATACAAGTATAATGTTTCTGGATTTAGTTGTGCTGCTACATAATTTGCTCAGCATCATTCAGTTAGACGAGAACTCTGATTGCAAAAACTGTTGCAATAACATCACAGCTTTGCAGATGTAATATTCCACCAAGTTTTGATAATCTGCAGACTATAAGTGTCTAAATTGAAAGTTGAATATCATATAATTATATGATAGCTGTATCTGCACTTTCACTAATAGCTACAGTATGAAATATTGCTAAGGCTATTTCACACATAGTATTGTTTACCAGGCTGTTGCTAATGTTGAAAAATTCAAAGCTATATGTTCATTCCAGCTTTCTGAATATGCATACATATTTTTGCTGTGTTCATGTTTTATTGTAAACTATAAACCATTTTGAAAATTTAAATAAGAAAGGAATAAAATCCGCCAACAATCATTTCTAGGATCAACGAAACATTATCAGTAGTATCCTTGAAATTCTGCACCTTTTTCATTTGAGATTTATTTGCATTCTCTCCTTTTGTCTGGATTTTCAAGCAGCATTATTATTACAGTTCGTCGCACAGTCGGCTAGATTGATTAGCAACACTGTAAGCCAATCAGGTTCCTGATAAGTTTCCAGTTTTATCAATTATTCCTATGCAGGAAAAGTCTAGAAGTCACTGGGGCTAATGGTAGGAAGGATCTAGCGAAAAGGAAGGCAGGCGCTGGAACAGGAACACTAAAAGGCACCTTTGATTACAGGAAAAGGTGGAGTTACAAAGTTTGTGCTGTGCAAGTGAAGCTTCCACATGCTAGAACTTGGTAAATAACAAATGTTTGGTTTCCAGGTTGTATTTTTGTATATTCCTAAATGATTTGAGAACTAAGATGAAATCATAACGGCACTGTTTTGTAGCTAACAATCAGAATATTTATCATTTTCCTTGCCTTTTCTTTACAAAAATATTATTATTTAACTTTCTTTTCTTTTGTCAGATCACTTAGAACCAGGTAGAGCTGAAGAAATTTGCTCAACATCTCAACCGCCAGAAGCTACTTCCAAAAATATTACTGAAGAGCAACTTGAAGATTGGTTAGATAGCATGATCTCCTAAAAGCTACATTTTGTTTATCATACAAGTGTGTGAAAAATAATTTAAGATGACAATTCCTAATTGTAAAAAATGTTTACAAATATTTAATCTGGTGACTGGCTGAATCTGCGGCTTAAAAACATTATTTGTGTATTTGCAGTGTTCTGGATTTCATTGCCTTCAGAGATGTAACAATATTAATTTGAAGTTGTAAATGTATAAAAGCCTATTTAGAGTCTGTGAAATAAAATAAATTACATTTGCAAGTGCAATCATAGAATATGTCTTGGTGTGACACAAATAACACAATGAAATATGACGTTGAGTTTTGTTTTGCAAATTCTTTATTGTAGTGCATATTTTTATTGGAAGAAAAAAATTACATTAACATTGCAACTAATCACTAGTTTCATTCTGTTCAGTTGTAAGACAAGTTTTTAAACCAGCTGCATGTAGGAAGCAGTTTTGTAATAAGTATATGACTAAATTTCATGTCATACAATAAGACCAGAAAGCAACACAGTCATATAACAAAAATGTCAATCTAAAAGACTAACATTTAAAAAAAAGTATTTTGCATAGCTGAATCTGGAAAGAGTTAAGGCACTTAGATTTTAGAGACAATAAAATACTTGAAAATTTTAAGCACTGAATACTTAAAATCTTTCAGTCTGTATTGTTACACTAAGAAAAACAAGGCTGATTTGAAATATTAAGTTCACCATATGAGTCTATGATTAAGTTATTGTCACCTGACATTCAGAGTTGCAAAACAATGATATAGCCCTTTCAACTACATTATTTTCTACAAAGGACTGTTTAAAAACAAGTAATGATTCCTGAATTAAAGTACTGAACTGAAATATTTAAACGTTATTTTTTGCTCAAATAATTCAGAGCCTGTTTCTGCCATATACAAAAAGCTAATCTATATCAATTTAAAACTGGGCTAGTTTATTTACTTAGAGGTCAAACATAAGCAATATGTATGTTACGCCACTATTTTGTAAGAATTCTATTTTTGTTTACATTGAATATAGTAGTTTCTTTGTTGGTATTTTTATCCAAGCTGATCTTCATACTGTTTACGGAAGCAGTCTCCAGCTGGGAAGAAATCCCAGCATCTTTCTTGGTACATTTTCCATACATATGACTCCTAAAAATATATAATACATGTTTTTCAAAATATTTATTTGAGAAAAGAAAGAATTTTTATACTTAAGGCATATTTTTATCTCAGATTAATGATTGGAAATTTTCCTTATTAGAAACATCAAGTGGAAATATATTCCTGAAAATAACAAGGCAGCCTTTCTGTTGGTGAATCTGTTTGGTCAGTTTATAGTTCACTTATTAATCTCAGGGAATATATTTTTGTTATGTAAGATATTACAACATTATTATCATATGCTAAACAAGTAATTAAGTAGTGATAAATTCAGATAAATGCATTTCACATCTAAATACAGGCTGGCAGCCAACTTTGCTTTAGTATGAAATGACAGAACATTTTTTTTTACAAAATAATAATCTTATAATAGCAGGTCTTGAACAATTGGTATAATACACTAAAGTAAATATTCAGAAGAAGGCATGAAGAACTGCAATATTTAGTACATGCGTTTCCATGGAAGAACATTAAAACATTTAGATGTTGTGTGTTTATAGATTAAAATGGTCAATAATTTGATTTTGGAGGGAAAAAATGAATGGTAATCATTTAATTATATAACATGATATTAGTATATCTCTAAAAGAATGTTGATTTTATTTTATGAATGTTTTCTGAAATGTTTCTTTCTTTTCATTTACATAATCAATTAATGCTTTACCTGCCCAGTGTGTTCAGTTTCATCCTTATTAATAAGATACATCAAAAAGAACCTGAAAAAAGAATATGAAACTATACATGATTGGTTTTGGTGGTATGCTGTTCTTGCTTCTTAAGAAAACAGTAATTATTTCCATCTAAACAATTGTGAAACTATAGGCTAAAAAGATATGTTTTATGATTCATTTTATAGTCAAAAGTTGTATTAAAGTGGTGAAATATTTCACATTTGTAAAAGAGTTTTGTGTATGTAAAATTGTACAAGTCTCTGCTTCTGAGTTCCCAATCCAAAAAAGTAGATATCCTCCTCAAAAAAGCATTAGAAGAAAAACAAATGTACAAAAACTATTAATGAAAATAACTGATACAAAGCTGTGGATGCTAGTATCTGTTTAGTTACTCACAATATTTTATTTTAGTGGTGACCGGTTCTGTATTGTTCTTTTTTTCTTTCATGAACAATAAAAAAGCTATACCTTGTATTTTACATTTACATTTCAAGGAAGTAAAATGATAGGCCCCCTACACCAAATAATTCTGAAGCAAAATTTGCCTTGGAGCAATATTAATTTTCCTTCTGCCAAAGCCTCTGATGGCTCATACTGTGGTTCATCTTTGCAAAGATAATGTCTCTCCTTTTCGATCAAGTTAATGAGCGTTACTGCATATGTTGATTAGTGTCTGGGGAATTACGGGAGTTGAACTCCATGCATCTTAAAGCTGCCAAATTTGAGAGATGCTGTTTAGAGACTGATAGAGCACTCCTGTTCTGGAGCCCCTCCACATCCAGAGTTTGATATATCAGGCATGATGTACCACATTTTCCCGAAATTAAGATCCGGACTTATATATTTTTTGCCTCCAAAAGAGGCACTAGGTCTTAATTTTGGAAAATGTCTTACCTTAGGACCACCACAGCCAGGCTTCCCAAACCCCAACACCTGTCATGCCACTGCTTGACTTCTGTGGCTGCTTGCTGCCACTTACAGCCGGATGCCATGTGGCGCATTGCCGCTCCTCCCAGCAGGATGTTGCATGTGCTTTGTGCCGTTTCTGCAGCTCGCAGCAGGATGCTGTGTGGCTCTTTGGGCCATTTCTGCAGCAGAAACGGCCTGAGGTGCCACGTGGCCTTCTGCCACAAGCAACAGAAGTGGCCTGAAGCACACAAGCAAAAAAGCGGCCCGAAGTGCTGTGCAGCATCCTGAAGCACACGAGCAGAAGCAGCCCTAAGCACCATGCAGCGTCCTAAGGAGAGGAGCGGCAATGGCGCAATGTGCCACATGGCGGCCAGCCATAAGTTGCAGCAAGTGGGCACAGAAGAAGTCCAGTAGCAGTGCAACAGTTGGGATGTGGAAGGCCTGGCTGTGGTCCTACCGGTAAGGTAAGAGGGTGCAGGGCATGTGGGGCAGTTTCACACCCCCCCATCTTGCCTTGCCCCCAAACTAGGGCTTAGTTTTGGAGTAGGGCTTATATTAGGCCCACACCCCAAAATCAAGGTAGGGCTTACTATTGAGCTGGGTCTAACTTTTGGGTAAACACGGTAAAAGTATTATGTTTGGGTTTGCTTGTTTGTTTTCCTTTAGTGATCCTGGTTATAGTTTCAAGGTTTAGAATTGGTTCCCCTATGATAGGCTCTATTGTGTACCCCTCACCCTACCTCATCCCCCACAGTGGAATTTTGAGAAACTTACAACATTAGCTACCATATGGGATCACTATAGCATGCATAGCCTACAGAGCCCTGAGTCTGGGAGTACAGGAATGCAACACACTGATTTTGGAGTAAGTTTCATAGAACTCACTTCTGGATAGATATTTCTAGCATTGTGTGATAAGCCTGGACAACCCTATTAACATTGCTAACAATCATTTCTAAAGAAATATGCATTAATAAAGCAGTGCAGGCATTTACTTACAAGTAGTTGGCCAGATTGTGCTCTTGTAGAGTATGCATTTCAAAACCATGTGGCGTTGAATCAAAATAATCATTACCAATTCCACAAATAAAGCATTTGGTCTAGAAATCAAATAAAAATATTAGCAAAATAAGAATCTAGTCTTCTTGACAATTTAGCACAAAGTTTTTCTCTTTCATTTACTGAAAACAAACTAACTCAATACAATCAGGATCTTACCTCCATGTCTTCTTTGACCTGCTCTTGCTGATCTCTTAGTTCACCAAAGGCATCAATAATAAGACCTATTATTAGAAAGAAAATACTTGCTAAAAATCTTAACTCTGGTACATTTTTGCATTAGGTATACCCTGCAGTATCATGTAGAATACATTGATTTTCTTCCCGCTCAGTTAATGTATTTCTTGAAGGAGTTTGAAGAAAGAAACATTGCAATATGAGTATAAAATATTGACTTCATTAAAGTGGAAATTTTGATATACTAAACTAGTTTTAATCATATAAATATTGATGCAGAAAATGCAAATCGGGGGAGCATTCCAACAAGGGTAGCCTTCAAAAACATTGCTGATAAATTGATTATAAGGGAATTGATCTAAGGGAAAAAGATTCATACAAAATCAGTAAATTTTGGTGAAGAGGAATGGAAAACACAAGAACTTTATTTTTTTTTTCCACTAAACCAGAGATCCCCAAATTCTTCAGCTCATCAACCCCTTCATGACATCTCAAATTGTTCATTAACCTTCCAACATTTATTATATGAAAATAATTTAATACAGGTAGTCCTTGACTCACAACCATAATTGAGCCCACATCTCTTGTTGCTAAGTGAGACATTTGTTAAGTGAATTTTGCTCCATTTTATGAATTTTCTTGCCACAGTTGTTAAGTGAATCATTGCAGTTGTTAAAGTAATAACCCAGTTGTTAAGTGAACCTGGCTTCTCCATTGACTTTGCTTGTCAGAAGGTTGCAAAAAGGGTTCACATGATATGGGGCCACTGCAACTGTCATAAATATGAACCAGTTGCCAAGCATCCAAATCTTGCTCACGTGACCATGAGGACGCTAAAATGGTCATATGTGCGAAAAATGGTCATGTCACTTTTTCAATGATGCTGTACCTTTGAATGGTCACTAAATGAAATGTTGTAAGTTGAGGATTACCTGTATTATTTTAACTAATGGTACTATGAATAACAACAACACAGAATCCTATCGACCTTGGGGTTTGATATTGACCACTTTGGAGAAAAAGGCACTAAACTTCACCACAACAGCTGGCACAATCTTGCAGACCTCGTATGGTCAAACCTGGTTGAAACTTGGATAAAAATGATTATAAAAACTCTAGCGCTACAGGAAAGATCAGGAAGTCAAACCTCCCAAAGAAGGCTATAGTGAACTGAACTATTGTCAAGAAAATCTCATGGATGTTATCTGTGTAGCCATTGGAAATCAAATTCAACTTATAGAAGGTATTACTTGTATCATTAGCTATAGTAAAAAAAAAAAAAAAAACATCCTGTTTGCTATTCATCATCTATAAGTTTCAGCGATTTTTTTCTCAGTGGTCAGCAGCATGATGTATTCCTGAAAATGAGTATCTCGCCGAACAAATATTGTATTGATCAGTTGAAAAAAAAAACAAATGAAATGAAATCATATTTAAAACCATAACTGAAGATTGAAGATAAATCTCTCTTACATTATTGTAGTAATGCCCTTACTCAAAATGAATTGCAAGCACTCGTTGAATATTGTATAAGGTAAAATTATTAGCAGGATTTTGATCAATTTCCCCCCCCCCAAAGACAATCCAGTAGAGGTACATAAATCTATTTTTGGCATGACAGGGTGCATAAGGAAAATCATTATTTCCCTCTCCCTATGTTAGAGTTTAAGTTTGCCAATTCAGCCTATATGCAGGAAGATTAAAGTCTGATAAAAAGAAGTACTTTACACAGTGTATAGTTAAAACTCTAGAAATTGTTGCCAGGAGATGCTGTGATAAGAAATGTGTATGAATTTTTTAAAGAGGGATAAATATATATGGCTTGCAGTACAAGCATGAGTAAACCCCAGGAATCTTAACAATAACAAACCTTGAATGATGGCCAGTAGGATAACAATGACAAAGAAGAAAAACGTGATATCAAAAACAATTCGATATATTTCATAAGGGTCTCCTGCAGGGTCTTCAATTTCATCTCCAATACCTCCACCTGCTCGTACCCCGACATACATATGGAACAGGTAACACTAAAAAGTAGAATTTACTACAGTTTATGAAACATAATCAAGCCACCCTGAATTAAAAGACATTTTAAAGGCCATTATTTTTATATCATATATTAGAAGTTGGAACAAATCTCACAACATTTAAAATATATTGCAGAAATGCTAAGATTAAAATTCAGCATCATTACCTTACACCACATGCATTTATTTCAGTGCAGCTTGCATAGGAAAAATTCAAGCGGTTCTGCTAAATTTTGAAATACTGCAACAGAGAACATTCTATTGTCTATTTTCTATAGTAAATCCAAACTGCTTTCTTGCTACCTTTTGCTATGTGATATTTTAATAGCCTGCTTTTAATTGAGAAAGTATATTGTATTTACATTTGTTTTTAATTAATTTTTTTTCCTGGAAAAACAGATGAGGGTAGTTTTGGTTTTCTTACATATTTCTGGTCTTGAGAATATTATCAGTTACCAGCTGAGTCTGAGGGGACATTCCTGTGCATGTATGCCCACACAAACTTTTGTGTACCAAACATATATGTGCAGTTCCCAGTCTTCTACGGCCTCACTATACTTTGTTTTCCTCAGCACAGGGGTAACTTCCCACCCTATCCCACTCACATAGCTATGTATACATCTTTTATACATATCTGAAAAAAATATACTTTGTAAGATAACTAAAAATGTACTGAAGAAATAATAAAATGAAACCTAAAAATGTAAACTGTTGGTGAACTATGCACCACTCAAAGGAGATTTAAGGTATTCTGATATCAAGGTATATTATATTTAACTCTTTGACCCTTGCTTGGTTGCCACTGGGTTGTTCGAAGGAAAGCACTGGCTCTAATGGTATGTGGAAGTGACCCTGAGGGATGAGGGAAAGAGATGCTGCTGCCTAGGGAACGACCAGATAAAAGAGGGAGGAGTCCACATCTGCTTAATGGACCAAGAAAGAAACTTAAAAAGGATCTGCCCGAATGACTGTTAATAATGTCAGCGGGAGATCTGTTTTTTCAGACTTGCAAGATTCTGTTAATATAGCCTTACAACAGTGGTTCTCAACCTGTGGGTCGGGACCCCATTTGGGGTTGAACGACCATTTCACAGGGGTCGCCAAACAACGCAGTCCGCCATTTTTTCCCCCTTTTTCTTAGCTATGCTACTCCCTTTTATTCTATTAGCTTTTGAAAGCCAATAGAATAGACTCTCTTGAATAGAGTCTAATTCTCTTGGCTTTCAAAAGCCAATAGGAATTGTCCAGGCTGTCTCTGCCCTGCTGAGCTCGCCAAAAGTCCCATTCTGCAAATGGTGCTGC